TATATATATACAGTGGTGGCCAAATGGATAAAATGAAGTTTAAAAGAAAACAATTTTTTTGGGTGTTATTTCTGAGACAGTTTTTTTTCTTCGTGTCAATAATAATTTAGGTTGAAAGAGAGTAAACCTTTTATTAATTATTATATTTCTATGAAAAACAGTGTTTGAATAGGGTATATTGTTTAAAAAATTAAGTTTTTGATTATATTTTAGGTATATGCTGCTGGTGGAATGGGAAGCATTGTAAGAGTGCTCACTGATAAGAAACATGTTTGACATTTAGTTGTTGCGGGAAAAATATTCCTCAATATTGAGTAGGAATATATTTAAGCTGTGTACATTTAAATAATTCTCTTAACTATCTATCTTTCAATGTTCTCATCAGTGAACATAAGCTTGTAAGTGATTGTAACAAGTGATTAAAAAAAGTGACCTGGTGCTAAAAATAAGTGTGTATTTGTGTTTATGTAAAGGATGTTCTAAAATTGTTTTTTTATTTCTTTTGTGAAAAAAAATTTAGATGAATTAAAATGAACAAAAACATGTAATTAGTTGTAAAACCTATTAAGAAGAAAGAATATCTTCATTAGACTATATGTATCCAATCTTTTAGTATAAGTATCCAATCTTTTGCATAAAAATTACCAATTATCATTTAGATAGTGTTTAAAAGTTAAGCAAGTTTAATATTTTGTTATAATTTTATCTTTCATTATGTAAAGTAACTGGTTAAGCATATTTGAATAATTGTTTTAAGCACATTTTTCCTGAGAAACCCCTACTTTGTCTCAGGGTTGCAAAAAACCGACCTACCCATTAAAACCCGGGTGGATTTTACTGGGTAAAACCCACTCTAAAATGGATTTTTCTGAAATTGATTTATTTTTTTATCTTCTGTTATATTAAAGAGCTATTCTATTGAAATATGTATGTAGTCTAGCTTAAAAAACTGACCTATGATGAAAAAACTTTGTGTTTGGAGACTGGGGAGTCACCTTTGCTGGCTATATTTGACTGTATGGCCATTGATTAGACAGTGCCTTTAATTTGCTTTTTATACAAAAAAAATTATTTCCTTAAATATTTTTTAAGCTTAAAATATAAATAAAAAGTAATCCTGTATAAAAATAAGTTTCAAATGTGTGATGTATGTGAGTAAATATAATATTTTGTATTATGATGTCAGAAGAAACTTTTTACAGACTTTTGCACCAATTTATTTGTGTTAATTATTAATTGCACTTTAATTACCTATATGTTAAGTCAACTCATAAAATTAAACTTAATTATTAATATTAAAATAAGGTACTTATCCCGTCCCTCTCTTTTGAAAACCCCCCCAATAAAACATGAAAAACCCAGAAAAGCCCAATAGAACCCACCCGGGTTGGTTTTTTCAGGAAAAACTTGGGGTTTTTTGCAACCCTGCTTTGTCTATTTGTCCTATACTCTGATATATGATGTGATTGATGTATTTAAAGAGTTTTTCAGTGCAAATTAAATGTTTGCTTTAAAAAAACATTTATTTTCCTCGTTCAGTAGTAATATTTTCTGATAATTATAGGCTTTTTTTCTCTGTTTAGGGAAGAACTTTATTTGAATTGCATAACAAGCCAGAATTTTAAATAGATGAGCAAGCCATACTTTTAAATTATGTTTTACAGCCAGTTTATTATTTTTTTATAAATATTTCTGTTACATCTAAAGCAGCGACAAAGTTATTCAAATGTTAAATACTAAGAGTACTTACTAAGTTTTACAGATTTTTTAAAATCTTTGATATACTATCTCTACTTTACGTAAGGCTTTTAATTTTAAGTTTAATAATGTATTTTATAATCTTTCATTAGTCTTATAAATGTAATGGTATCTATCATTAAATGTCTCGAAACAGAATGGACTGTTTAAAGTGACAATTTTAATTGTGCTTTATTTTCTTCAGGAAAAGATAAGTATTAAAATTTGGTACTAAGTGATTTATATTTGATTGATCATTATACTCATGCACTCTATGTTTATTCAGTTTTTCTAAAAAATATGTTTGATAATTATACTCGTGTATGATTAGACATATTCTTTAGATGATTTAAATATTTAATTTTAATAATATTGTTATGAATAAAACAGTCTTTTTAATGCTTTTTTTGATTATTTCATTTGTGATACTCATTTAGATGGTTTAAATGTTTTTTTCTGTATTCCATTTTTCATATTAAAATGTTATGTATTTTATCTATACAAAATTGACATTTTAATTTTTTGTTCTCTATTAATTTTATTGTTTGCAAGCTGATTGTTAAAATATCAATTATCTAATCAGTCTAAATAAGCATCATATTTTTAAAGTAAACATTCCTTATTTGTAAATGTTTTTTCAAAGCATAGATATTGTATTTTAATCTATATAAACTGTAATCTATAGGGCTTCTACTATCTTTTTGAGCTTGTTTTCATCATTCCTCATTTTTTGCTGCAATTTATTAATGACAATGGACAATTAATATTTGAGTTCAAAACATGCAATCTTTTTATGTTTCAAATAAAGCATTTTATGTGTGATTTCACAAGATTTGTTGCATATAGGATTGTTCACTGCCAAATGTTTATGTTTTACTCAGTGAAAATACAAATATAAATATTTCAGTTTCGTTTCAATAAATCCTTTATATAAGTTAAATTTTTTTTAAAAGTTTTTTTTTTATGTACCACATCAAAAGTCAAATATTGTGGAACAAACCTTATTGCTGTTCCATATGTACAGTGCTTGGAAAATGCAATTTGCTTGTAGATTATTTTGTAAACGTTGGTAGTCAATTTTTATCTATTTAATTTTAGAAACATTTTCTTGAAAATTTAAAATTTTAGGTTAGATTTGCAGTATTTGTTGTTAATTGCTTTATCTTTTTCTTGAGCAAAATTAGATTGCGTAGCTTATATTAAAATAGTTCTTTAGATTTCATGCTACCTTCCATATTTATTTTGAAGTAACATGTTGATTGTACTTAAAATATTTACATTCAAGATCTCTAAGATGTTTTTCATAAGATAACTTTTTGAATTTCAGATAAGTGTTTTAATATTTAACTAATTTATTTCAAAAAACAGTATGTTTAAAATCTCTACATATGTAACTTATTTTATTTTGTCTAAATTTTTTTAATCTTATCAATTTTTTCAAAAATAGTTTCAGCATAAATCTCAATAAGTGGATATCTTAACCACAACAAACATGCCTAATTTCATTAGTTTTTTGTGTGAAATATCATTCTTTTTTTATTAATCTTATTTTAAAACTTATCATAATTGAATTAAAAGTAAAAGTTATACCATTAACAATGAATTAATCGCTTGGATAGATTATTGTCTGTTTTATAATTAAAATTTACTTCTGTTTTTACCTTTATCATACCAACAAAAGGTTAAACACTAGTTAAAACGAAATTGTTACTTGAAGTAAACTGAAAGATTTAGTTTTTTTTGCAACTATATTTTATACTAATAAATTTAGTTTTTATATACATGTATTAGATTTTATTTAAAATACACTAAAATGTACTTAGTTAGAAATTAGGTCTAAAGGTTTGCATTATCATCTAAACATAATCATTCATATTTATGAATAGAGCAAAAAAATATCTAAAATCATAATTTAATCAGTAGTTTTAAAAATTTAGTTTAAATTATTTGATCATTTAAGGATATTTTTAATTTTTTATGTTCTTTACATATTTTGGAGGTAATGAATCATTTAAAAACTATCGCTAGAGAAGTAACTTGATAGGCGTGGAATAGAATGAGACAAAATATAATTTACTTTTTTAAAGCATTTTTAAATGTAATTCTGGTTTTAACTGGGAGTTTAAAAAATTTAACTTGATTCATTAATTTTCGGATTGATTTATCACTTATATTTATACATAGTTATTTCATCTTTAAAGGTATCACAGTGGTAAAAGTAAATAAACATGAGGGTTGGAACTTTTTCTTCTTCACTGACACTAGTACATCTTGACTGTCTGTCACATTTTAGCAACCCTTGTTGAAGGTTTTTGCCCACCTTTTTGTTAGTGTTCAGTAATGAAATGCAAATTCCTCACAAGTTTCTCATGGACTTAGATGACTTATACTGTACAATCTCTGGCATATTAACACTTCATTCAACTCCATTAATCCTCTAGCAAAAACAGTGTGACATACTACGCTAAACTACCGACTAACACAAGACTCTGTTCTATGCATTAGTGCCCATGTGCTAGGGGTTTGATGGGCAAGTCCTTTTTCTTTATAGTAGACTAGGTTTGTAACTAACAAGTGGCATAAATGACATTTTTCAACTTTGTTGCCTGGTACTTCTACAGCAGTGTTACCACTATTAAGTTCCAACTCTTGTTTATACTTTAATAATAGTTAATTAAATAATATGTTATAATTCTAAATAAATTTAAATAAGTCAGTATAATTATTTAGTAAATTTAATGTTTTTTTCCTTACCAATGCAACAGACTAAATATTGAATAGATACTAACTATCGGAGTATTCTGTAATATATATTTTTATTTTAGCTCTAAAAATGGTATCTATAAAATAGTATTTTCTAGTAAACTTTATAATTTGTAAATGAATCCTAATGTTAGTCCCTTTTTACAATCTTCATACAAACTATACTTTATTTAAACAGATTATTAGTTTGGAGATTAAATTCTCTGCAATCTTTTCAAAACTGTTGATTGTAAAATTTTATGCAATTTAAGTGTATTAAAACTTATTTCAATGCTTGGAAAAAATGTAACTTGGGAAATATAAATTAAATTTAACATTTACATTTTCTGTTACTATAAAAACTAGAACAGAAAATCATCTTCATTACTATTAAAAATTACAAAATATATCTTTACTAATGTTTTGCATCCATGCATAATTCAGATGCAACTTGTTTTAGATTTTGAAATCAATGTTTGAAAGATGTAACATATTTATCAAATATTCATTACACATTGCATTTTATGCAACATATGCTCATTATTTGATGTTTGTATATATTTTAATAAATGAAGGGAATTTTATAGTACCCTGTAGGCTATGTATTAATAAGCTCAAGTTTACCTCTCTTGTGATTTGTTAGATGAATAGAATAATATATAAGTTTTGATTTATTGGTGTAAATAAAGTGTAGCATTTTTTATTACTGTTATTATTTTAATTTAGAAAGTTAATAACAATGCCATTGCTTTTTGAATGTAGCTTTAATTTATTCTTTATTTAAAAATATGCTAATTTCTAAATACGTTGTATCTTTTATACCTTTGAAATAAAACTTAATTGAAATTATTAAGCAGTTATGTTTTGTATTCTGTTAAATAAAATTTATTTTTAGTTTCTATGTTGGAGACAGATAAAAGTATTGTTTTCCTAGGGAAAAGAGAAAAGTTGTTGAGAGAGAAGATTTGCATTTCATAATACAAGTATTATCTCACTCCAAAATTATTTACCATAATGATTTCTGATTTAAAAATCTTATTCATCATGTTAAATTGTAAAATATGATTGTAAATACTAAATTTTCACTGAATAATTTAAATTTTTTGTTCCTTAATGAAAAGCACTGAAACAGAAATATAATTAATGAGTTAATGTATTGCTATTTATGATTAATCATTTGTAAAAAAAAGTTTTATTTTTAATTTAGCTGGTAAAATTGTATTTCTTTCACATTTAAACTACCCATTTTACTCATCTTGATAGACGCAGTGCTAATTTTCATCTATAAAAGTAACAGTAGTGGGTAATTTTTGATATTGATGCTTCCAAGCCCCTTGTATTGATTATTGAATTTTAAGAACACAAAATATGTACCAAAATATAATTGTTTATATGAATAAATTTTTAATAATCAATTACAGTAGGGAACCGATTATCCGGAATGATCGGGACCATCGTTATTCCAGATAATTGATTTTTCCGGTTTTCTGAATAGCTACAAAAAGCCGTTTTTTCTTATTATTAAACCCAACTAAAAAAAAAAATATTAGGAAATAATCTTAAAAAGAAGAAAAAACGATGAAGTAATACAGTAATGATTATTTCTAAAATGATGGTACGGTAAACATCTTTCAGAAAAGAAAGAAAAATCCTAAAATCTTATGAGGGAAAAAAAATTATTTTTTCAAAATGGCGGGAAAATGTATCGAATTTCGTTCCGGTATTTTGGTTTTCCGGTTTTCTGATTTCCGGATAACGGGTTCTGTACTGTATTAAAATTTTTAATTTTTGTTAATTTAAAGCATATTTAAAATTAATTTATCATTTTAATACAGAAGTTGTAAGATAAGAAAAGTTCTGCAACTATTTATCAATATTTTTTATTACTAAATAGATTAATAATAATAAATATTACTAAATAATTAATAATATTTCTTTTGGTTGTACAGTTTATTTGAAAGGGATATAACCAAACAAGTTTTTATGTATCTCATCTTCTACCATGTAAAATTTGCATATCACTCTCAAAATCATATCTCCCCCCCCCTGATAATAAGGCTTTTTTCTTACATTTTAAGATAAAAAAATTGGGTTTATAAGCATAATGTACATGTTCTAGGGCATTTCTTATAGCACACAAGTATACTAAGAGAAAACATCTTTTTTTTAATTTTTGAAATATATTCAAATTATGTTTTATCAAGAACTCTTAACATTTCAGCAATTTTTATTTTTTGTTGATACTAGAAAAATGGTTAGGGCCACTCTCATTTTTTATTACTCTGTAATTCAAAAAATAACTTACTCAAAACAATGAGTATTTCTGCCTGTTAGCCTTTTAGGAATATATAAATAGAACCCTATACTTATAATGATGGGATAGACCAGTGTGGCCCCTAAGGTATTTTGGTACGTACCACATAGCCTCTGGCAGGTTTGTGTATAAGGTATCCTTTAGTAGGTATAAAGAACCCCAGTTTCCTTAAAAGAAAAATAATATTTTAACAGATCTTCAATTATTATTTCTAGAGAAAAAGAACAATTACAGGTGACAGCCTGTAATTGTTCTTTTAAATTAGCTTTGTTCAGCTATTTCTTTGATTGGCTGCAGTTTGAGAAAGGTAAGCATTATTTTTAATTCTTAAATCTAAAATTATGAAAATGTAACATACATCTAAAATTAGTTTCCTCTTATTGTTACAGTTTTTTGTAATTATCCTGTAAATTGTATTTTTTGATTAATTATATTTACAATTTAGGCTTTGTAGTATGACCTATTACTGCAACCTTTTCATTAATCCTCTTTGTTATTGCATAAATGCAATGCTATTCTAATGCCTATTAGAACATCTGCATTGAACTGTTTATCCTAATATAGTGACCAACATATAGTCTTTTTTTTTTTTTATTCCCTTTAAAATTACTTACTGACAAACATTTTTTCACTTCTGAAACAAAATGCTCAACAATGAATCATTTGATTGAAATTTTTTTTTTAAAGAAATATTTAAAACTTTAATTCTTTTCGTGAGAGACATATATTAAATGTGAAGCATTTTGAATTAAGGAAAGATAACATGATATAGTGTCTAACTAGTGTCTTTTCTCAGGTAGTCATTATCTCCAATGTAAAAGTAAGTGAAATATGGATTACTTTACATTGATGATTTAAAGTGTGTATAGGACATGAGGAAATAGATGTGAAGTCATGTTTATATTCAATAGGTTAAAAAGATGCATTCACATTCTTAGTAACTTCCTTTTCAATGGTTTCACTAAATTTATCAATTAAAAATTTTATTTACTCTTTTTTGTGAAATATTAATTCACTTGGATGGTTTATTTTCGAAAATATATAAAATGTGAGTCTTTGTAATCATTTGGGTATTCTGTTATTTACCATAAACGACTGTCTGGAACAAGTATATAATTTTTAATGCATTTTTTAACCTGTTACATATATATAAGTTCAAAATGTAGAGAAAGCATGGCAAAAATTACAGAACAATGAAAAAAGGAAAATATTAATATAAAAATCAGGAAAAAAAGGTAAGAAAGTTAATAAAAATCCAGAAAATAAAAGATATAATCTTTTCATCAACTCACATGATTATATCTGCAAAAAGGAGTGCTTTCTAATATTGTATCAATGTAGCCAAAGCAAAATATATCAATACAATAATGTGAGGAGCACTAAAAAATTTTTACAACAAAAAAAAGAAAATAAAATGTAAAGAAAGAGCAGAATAAAACATAAAACAAAATCTATAAAGCGAGTAGCGAATTCAAATGAACTTACATGAACGGGAAATTTTTCAAGAATGACTTCAAATAGTTTCGTAACAAGATTGCCAGATTACAAAATATGAAAACAGAATCGCAAATTGAGGTAAAAGTGTAAGTAGAGGGTTTTTGTTTTAGAGTGCATTCTTACTGTGGTACAGAAGTGCATTTGATTTGTTAGTTACCAAGGATGGGCACAACTGGATAATTTGAAGTAGTTGACAATTATATATATACAGTTAGGAACCGATTATCCGGAACGGTCAGGATCATCGCTATTCCGGATAACTGATTTTTCCGGTTTTCTGAATCGCTACAAAAAACCGTTTTTTTTTTATTGTTAAACCCAACTTAAAAAAAAAAAGAAATTTGGAAATAATCTTAAAAATAAGAAAAAACGATGAAGTAATACAGTAATGATTATTTCCAAAATGATGGTAAGGTAAACATCATTAAAAAAAAAAGAAAAATCGTAAAATCCTATGAGGAAAAATGTTTTTTTTTTTTAAAAAATGGCGAGAAAATTTATGGAATTTCGTTCCGGTTTTCTGATTTCCGGATAACGGGTTCTGTACTGTATTATAAAAAAGTTGAGTTATTATTCTGTTATATCAGTTATTATTCTGTTGGTTTAAATCTTATTCAAGCACAGAATTGTTTTGCTGAAATCAGTCCAATATTTTTTAGGTTTGAGTAAATGTTTGTTGTATTTTTGTACAAATGTAACCATTTTACAACAGGAGTCCTTATATCGAGAGTCATCTGTATTTTTTATTAAAATAATTTTTAATAATGGAGTTGTTCTTGATAGAACTATACTTTATAGGAACATCCAGTAATAGAATATGGTTTTTAAAATTATTGAGAATGAAAAATTTTAAAAAATTACTATTATTCGGAAAGCTTCTGAATCACCTTTTCATTGTTAGACAAACTTTACTTGAATGCAAGTACAAGTTACTACAGTTTTCTTCTTTGTTTATGTTCCCTAAAAATAAACTTAATATTACCTTTTGGATTATGATGAGTAACATAAGAACTACTGGAAGAAATGGGTAACTTTTTACAAATTGTGTGGTAAATAGTGATAGTGTTGTAAAAACCTTGATTTTAACTCTTTTTTTTTAATAACACAACAGCTTCAGTTTTGCTTTGTCGCACATAATATTGTACTTTAAATTGATTGACTTGAAAGTGTGCAACAGTTGCTTTTATTGAGACAATATTTTCATGTGTATCAATAAAAAACTTGGAAATATTTTTATACACTTTATTTTCAAAATGATCCTTCTAACAAACAAACCTATAATTTACAATGAGCAAATATTACATAATATAAAGCCAAAAAACATGAATTGTGCAAACAGCAAATTCCAACATTAGCAAGCCAAAAGTTGGAGATGACAAGTATCACAGCATTATAAACATCTGACATTGAACCAGACGCCCATTTGACGACAACTAGAGGCAGAGCATAATCACAGTTTGTGAGGATTAATCACCAGGACCGCAAGCTGACATAGTTAAAAAGAATGTCAAATTCTTTTGAATACATACATATAAAAGTGTTGATAAAATAGAAGGAACAATAAACATTCAATGATTCAGCAGTAGGATACACCTCTGAATAAATAACCACGTTTACACACACCTATGCATGGTTGAAAAACAAGCAAGTGATAATAATAATAATAAAAAAACTAATGAAATCAAATCATCAATGTTTCTCATGATGAGTGGTAAAACACTACTTTGCCTTTAAGAACATTACTCTGGAGAGATTAAATTCCTGTTTTGTTTTTTTTTTTTAAAAATCATACTTCTAATGTAAAAATATAGAATTTTAAACATTTTGATTGTTGTATTTTTTTTTTAACTTATACCATCAAAAGATACATATTTCTTTTTGGTCAACATTAACTTTTTATCTAATGTTAATTGTTGTGTTTTGTTAAGCTATATGTTTTCTGCGAATTTTATGAGTTAAAACGAGTCTTCTATGCTAAACTATTAATGCATTAGAAAATATTTGCTAAATCAATATTTATCTAAGATTTGCAACTGATAAAAAATCGATCACACAAGTTTTTATTGACAAAGATAAGAGAGAATTCTGCCTGAAACAAACTTAAATCTGCAAGCTTAAGTTGCATAAAAACTAAAATAAAAAATTCACGCAGACAGAATTCTTGTTATTTGAGTGTTCCTTCCAATTATTAGAACTCTGAGGCTAAATTTATAAAATTTTTTTCATACTTAATATTTTCTTGTTTAATTTAGAAACTACTTTTAATTGCAGAGAAGCAACCTGCTCCAAGTTTGAAAAAAAATGGGAACTAATGCTCTGAATGAAAGTGGACAGCTAAAATTGGAAATTCAAGAACTGATTTTTACAATTTCTTTCAATACTGCCAGAGTAAATTTCAACATAGAAACAACTATAAATGTATATTTGTACTTCAGTACTAAAAAGGTCAATGTTTTGTATGAGCCCTTTCAGTACTAAGATATAAATTTATTACAATTATAAAAGATTTATTAGATAAGTAAAACATTGCCAATATAACCAGTTGTGGGCAAGGCGGGGCATGGAGGTTGAAGCTGCATGATTGTGTGACCATTGGACAAGTTACCATTGCTTTCTAGACAAGCTTTAGATAAGTGTTGGTGTTTTCTAAACTTAGCCATCTAATCACCCCGGTTTTCTTTAAATTTTAAATTGTAGGTTTACCTGCTTAAAAAAAAAAGATTTTTCCTATGCTATTTTTAATTGGAAAAGTAGTGCAGAGCAGGTTAATTTTAGTACAATTTTCCTCAGAAGCTCAACACTTGAAGGATAAACTGCATTATGTGGAAATTAAATAAGTTGCAAATGCAATGTATTAGGAAAAAAATACTTCGTTTAGTATATTTTTATTTGAGTTTGCTCTGTAGGCAAAGAAGTTTGATTACAACACCCTGTATATGATATTTATGTACATAATATACATTATATGCAATGTATATTTATATTCACTTAGTGCATCAATAATTTTTCTCACAACACCTAAAAGTGTGAAGAAAATATGTTTAAGTATCCTTATGAAATTCTTAACCCAGTCGTTTGGCACCAGCAATCGAACATGTGGATAGTCTCGACATAATGGAAATTTACTCATTCATATGATACTTGATTTGTTCATTGACTTACAAATCCAGTAAACATATTAGTTCCCATCTAAATAACGAGACTTTTTTTTAATCTGTTAAATGTCAGATCAATTTCAATACTATTTTGTTATGATTTACATAAGATATTAAAATATTAATTAGCACAGAAAGTAGTTATGATGCATAATATAAGATCTTAAAGCTTATTTCGCTGGTAAAATGTATGGTGCTGTGGGGAAACCTAGTGCTGATAACAAATTTAGTGTTGATCTCCAATGCAATGAACTCAATTTAAGAGTTAGTTATCCTTTTATGGTGCTATGAATAAATTTAGTGTTTATCATTGGATACTTTTTAATAATCAGTATTGTTTCTTTCATGGACAGCATGTTTAGCCAAAGCAAACAAACTATAATTTGTTTCGTATTTTATATTTTGTTTCTTGAATTATAAAACTTGCAAAGAGCTTCATTGTAATTTAGAGAAAATGTCAGAAATTATTGTTTTGTTTTATTTAAATTTTACATAATGGTATATCTTGTTTGATATATCAGTTTTTCTATGAAAATTAATGAGAGTTTACATCAATTCTTAGGTTGCAATGATTTTTAAGACTGAGGCTTAAACTGATATTTTTTATTGGAACCTGAAATTCAAGCTCTAGTTTTGATTACCAAGTTGGAATTTCTAATTGTTTGTAAAAAGCTGACCCTGTATTTAGTTTTATTCTAACCATTTCATTCATTTTGATCAATGATGAAAAATTCAGAGTAATCCACAGGTATATAGAATATGTAGCATTGCTGATTTGGCAGTATTATATTAATTAAATGGTTTAGTAAAAAATGTTCATAATTACCATTCTAAGATTTATCATGAGTTAAACTACATCATGTGGTTCAAAGTATAACCAAATTCAAATCAACCATTTCATAGATGCACTAGGTAAATATAATGAGATAAACAAATATTAAAAAAAAAATTCAAATTGAAAATAAACAATTCTTGTAAAGCTTGGTCTCAATTTTACACAATTTGTTATCATACAAAGTAAAATGGTGTCATCACATAACTTTATGAAATGGAAATACAAAATAATGATTTATGTAGATTCTTTTGAGATAAGGATGTAAATGTCCTTATTTTCCATCTATCACATTTATTTATCAAACATTTCCAGACTAATTAATAAGAAAGTGCACAGATATAAGTGTAGATTTAAAAGTAAAAATTGCAAATCTGAAAAAATTCGGAACAGTAAAAAGTGAAAAAATATGTTTGTTGCTTCTTTTAATTTGTTTTTACATTTTATATATAACATCAGATTTACATTGTTTTGAACAATCTAAATATAATACTTTGGTTACAGCAATCTAAATTTCATTCTATAATACTGTTATTTGTAGTATTATCTACATTCAGTACAGATCTAATTTTTTTTTTACTAAATATGTACTAATAATTAAGTTTTTATTTGTTCTGATCAATGTAAGTCAATACTTTGTTTATGATAAGCATGAATAAGATTTTTATAAGTAAAATATAACTTCAAATTTTGCAGTTACGAAATTTCAGTTTTTCGATCACACACTTTTTGTTTCAAAGTTATATGCATTTGATTATCGAATATAACTTTTTGCAAATTGAGTTTAATAAAGTTTTAGATTTATTTTATAAATTAAGTTGAATAAAATTGACACATGATAATTTGCATACAATTTTAGTACTGTAATTAATGCACCAATAGTAATTAATGCACTAATATTTATTTTCACAAGCTAATACTTTATTTGTTATAAGTATTGATGCAATTTTCTATATAAAAAATAAAATTGATTTGTTGTCATGGAATTCTAGTTTCTTTTTTTTTTTCAATTTATGAAAAATAGAACATAGTATTTTAGCATATTTATTTTATTCCCCCTCCTAACTTGCATTTAGGGTTGTAAGATTTTTATGTTTAAGAAATTCTAGTTTTTTCGTAATAATTTTAAAATTAAGTTTACAAGCATTTGATCATAGAATAACTAAATACAGTACAGATCTAAAATTCCCTTTATAAGTTTATATTTATTTCAGAATTCTCATGCGCTTTGCTCAACTTGAAATTTATTACTGATCTATAAATCATAAGTGAACTTTATGTTGAATATAAGACATAGCACAAATTATGTGAAATGGAATGGAAATGTTCACATAAATATAGAACAATTTGCATAACATTTATTCAAGTGCTTTTATTTTAATGTTGTATGTCTGGAACAGTTTTTCTTGATTTTAATCTTCATATTTTAATATGTATTTATTTTTTGTCGAATACATCATCAGTTTAATAAAAGCACCCATATGTTTCTATGCACAAAACTTATCAATATAAATGCTAGTAGAGAATTGGATATCAGTGCATTTCCCATAAATCTGACCAATTACTTAAATTAAATTGTATACAAATAGAAATTCCAGTAGGAATTAAGTTACATTGTGATATGCATATCACATTTATCAGAATTGTTGAAATAAATGTAGTTTTAATTTTTTACTTGATAAAAGTAAAATTTGAACTACTTGAATTTTGAAAATCTTTATGTTCATTGCCTTGCCTAGAAGACAATTGTTTATATTTCTGAAAGCTTGCAAATGTAAAATAGGAACATAAAAGGAAATTAAAATAGGCAAAGGTTTAACAGATATCATGGACATCCTTAAAATAATATATAATTTTAAACTAAGTAGCTTATTAGCCTACACATGTTTAATGAAGCTAAATATTCAATTCATATTGATGCAGATGAGAAAGAAAGAGTATTTCTTTTAAAAAATTAGGATAGTGTTAGTAAAAATTGGAACAATGTTAGAAAAATAACCAAAATCAATGCTTTTAACTGAGAAATATTTGTTTGCTACCACTAGAAATATTTCCCCCAGAAAGCGAAGAAAGTTAGCAACCCTGGAAACATAAAAAAATTCTTATTCAATTCAATTTTGTAATGAAATGAACATGAAAATTTCATTTTTATTTTAAAGAAGTGAAAACTGATCAATAAATATAAAAAGTAGATAAGCACTGAATAGTTAAGGTGTCCAAAATCTACTAAGGCGATTTTCTTGTAAGCTGGAGCCTGTGAGTATGATATAGTTTTACAAATATTTTTCTGAATTTCGCAATCGGATTAGTACAGAAATGTGTTACCAGTATTATTTTATTACTCAGAGTATTTGATTTAAATATATTTGAATGTTGACTTTATTTAATAAGTTTGGTGAATTTGATTGTTTAATCTTATCATTATAAAAATACTGGTTTTCAGATATTTAACTTTTAATGATTATAGGCATATAAAATTTTGATGATGATTATATGCATATAAAATGAAATACATAAATCAAAGTCTAATTTTCACGATATTCAATCATTCACAACTATAGTTAAAGAATTGTAGTACGTATAAATCTTTGGTAAAAATTTTTTTGTGAAAGATTGTTGGAAAAAGATAAAACAATACAGAAAGTGTGATGGAGTTCATTTTGAATATTACCTAAAAACAAGAATAATAGTTAAAGATGAAAGTATCATTTCTATACTGTAGAGTTTTAATAAAAATGAAATTCCTGTTTGAAAGACTTATTCATACTGAAATTTTAATATTAGATCAAAATCACGATAATTGGTCTCAACCGTTTCCTTCCCAACATAAAAAGAAAAATTTTCAAGGATACTTTCAATTTATTCTCTGTTTAAATTTCGATGTAAAAGTCTATATTATTTCTCAAGTATTCATAAAAAACTTTGAGCTTGGGAAAATATTAACAATTTTGAGCTTTTTTTTAAAAATATGTTTTTGCTGCTGAGGGAATAGTTAGGACCAATTAATGTCGTTTTGCTCAATATTAGCATAAAACTGTGTAAAAATAGGAGAAAAAAAGGAAAATTTGGGACGGTTGAACAGTGACTAGCTAAGAACATTTAGACTAGGAATTATAGTTTTCCTTTGCGTATGAAATATAACAGAATATGTTTGACAGTATTATTTATAACTTTGTCAGCAATATGTGCTGAGCTTGTAATGTGGTTGAATTATAGATTCATCTGGCTGGATCCTGCTCACAACTTTGTTACCATCTAAAACTGCTAATACAATAGAATTATCATTTGGATTTTGGAGCAGATCTGGTAATGAGGGTTCATAATGTTCTGACGAGTTTTTTGGAACAAATTTATCAGATGAAGAATTCTTGGAATTCTCATGGCACGAGGATTTAAATGCCACTGATACATCTGAAAGACTTTTTTGTCTTTTTATTGGCCTATTTTGATTTCGTGCTTGCTTAATTTGATCATGTGGAATTCGGCAGTCTTTAGGCATCGTACAAGACATTTGAGATAAATTTTGTCTATTTTGAAACACTACTAATCTTGGTTGTTTATCAAATCCATAAGTTGATGTGGATTGCTGATCACTGTAAGGAGTGTTTTTACAATAGTATACTTTTGGTGGTGCTCTTTGCAATGGGGGAAGGATTTGATCAGCATTGTCATCTGGAAGATCATCATCATCTATGGTTTCATATATATGATCTAGAAATAGGCCATTGTCTGAAGGTAATAAAAATTGGTGGTTATCCTGATGTGCCAATTGGTGTTCTGGATGGTTTGAATGCATGTTTGTGTTTTCACTAATGTCATTTTTCATTCCATAAAAGGACTTCCAATTGGTATTATTCCTAGCCATCCATATGCCATTTTGTGAGATTAAATCATCGTCACTTTCATTTAGTGAGTTTGAAGCAAGTATTGGAGCAGAAGAATCTGAAAAGTAAAAATAAGGTTAAAAGTCAATCAATTGATAAATACTACTTTAATTTCTATTTTGTTAAAAAAAGTATCAAATCTTTTTTCTTTAGTACAAAATAGTTGTATTTCACTAACAGAAACTGAGAATGTTCTTTTTTTTTTAATAAGGAGTGAGTATGAAATTTTTTGGTATTCTTAATTTATTTTTATTATAGTATCTTCTTAAACCACTAAATAATTAAAATTTCTGATTGCTAGTATGAAAATTAAACTTTTCATGTTTTGAGGAAGGAGCTTACAATGAATATTTTTGGGCTGATAAAACCTGCACCTAATTTTGTATATATTATGAGAAATCTGATTTTTCTATGCATGGAAGAATTCTAATTGAAATGTTACTTTCTATATGCAGGAGTTAGATCTTAAAAATATTATCAAAATTCACATTTTTTAAAAAAAATTTAGAAGTTTTGCTTTAAAAAATGATAAAAAAGACTCACTGACCAAAATTGAAACGAGGAATAAATTGAAAGTAAAGAAATGTTATAATTTTACTATGTTGCAGCAGGCTCAGTCGAGAACAATAACCATCCTTTTGTTCATTAGTACCTTAGTGGTAAAAAGGCAAGTATCTGAAATTCCTGAATTTAAGTTATGTATACTGTCTCTAAATAGGAGCCACTATTTCTTTAAAAGAGAAAAAAAGTCGAAGTTGTCAAAATAATACTTTCTAAAAAGTAACAAGTATTTAAGGATCAGTCTTATTTTAATTTCAGTGCAAAAAGCGTAAATATGAAAAAAATATTAATTTGACAATTACGACCATGTGAACATTAACTCTTATAAACAAATATAGTAGTATAATGCCATTTATATTTAGAGGCCAATTTTTTTTTCTCTCGCAAAATCATGCTTCAGTTTTTCTGAAGGAAGTTGAAAAATTACTTTTTTCCCTCTTAATGTTTTTAAAAAGAGGGACTGCCCCTCTACCTAACTTTTTGTTCTGCTCAGTTTTAATGAGGGTGGAAGATAGAGGGAACCAGTTTCTTACTGTCATCAAAAATTAGAGAGGAATAATTCGTTTTGCAGGTTTAATAGGTGGATCTTAAAATTATCCAATCATCTGAAATTTTATTGATCAGGTTAGTCGTGGTTCGATAATTGATACTAATTTCATAATTTTTTTAAATGCTGTTGGTTGGTTTTGCTTCAAAACTATTTCATTTTTTATGGGATTATTGAAGGAGACTTCGGTAAATTTTTGAATAAGCTACAATTGCTTGGAAATAATAAATTTTGTCCTGGAATTTTACTGCAAGCATTATTATGATAGTAAATGGATCAAACTCCTCATTGTAGGTTTTTATATGTAATTTAAGAACTCTTTACAGAGTTAAATATAGATATGTTTAACTTCAAAAATAACAAAGTACTGGGAAGGGAAGCTTGAGATATTGTTTAGCCTATTTTAAATCATATGTAATGGTAGAAAATGAGTTTATATCTCTTTAAAAATAGATTAATATTCTAAAAAATGTTATATAAAGAATGTAAATAAGTAACAAAAATTAAAATAACTGTTTTAGAGTTACATAATAAGTATAACTGTTAAATATTTTAAATATTAATTACCTCAAGCTTCCCTTAAATCAGAAAATATCACTTATTCCATCTTTCAAACATAAACTACATTTGCTCTGTATGGAGTTCCTGAAACGTTAAGGAAAAAGTACACTAAACTTTTGCCTCATTTATTTATTTATAAACTTCAAAAATAGAAATTTAAAAGTTTTTTACTATTTGTTAAGAAGGTATAGAATTTATTCAAATTCCAAAATTATTATTATATTCAAATTCCAAACATTTTATAATTTTTGTTCCATTTTTTAAAAAAATTGTTTTATCAATTTGACAAATTCTTTGATTCTAAATCTAATGAATTCTTTTGATACTAAATTTAATGAATTGTTTTATACAGAATTTTAAATATTATAAACGTTTAGATTATTAAAAAAAGTTTTTGAGCAAAGACCTAAACAATTATTAATTTGAATTCAGAATCAAATTTTAGATTTTAGGACTTTCATTTATTCAAAGGATTTTATAACAAAATTTCTGAATTTAATTTTTTGACTTGGTCACATAGCAACAGGCCCTTCGTTCAAGTTTTTCTCCCTCCCCTTTCTTTTCCCTTGAATGGTGTGGCTGACCTTGTCCTTTCGAAAATCCTTGATACATGCAAATTGTGTCAGTCCACTTTTGTTTTTGGTCACCTTCAAGTACTCATTCTCATGATGTATGCTAAAGAATGTTCAGGAGGCTTCTTTTTTTAGTGGTCAGGGACCGGTTTTTCATAGAAATGTCTCTAATTGGACTTGTCTAATGATCTGGTGAGTATAAAATCTAATAACACAGACAAATATACTTTTTGAATAGCCCTCAACTTAAGATTATTAAACTCTGTTATTCAATGTTCAACATATCCCCTCCCTAAAATTTCCACCTTAATTAATGATGCTTGTTTGCTTAAATATTATAGTCTTTTAAATTTCAATAATGCTTATTGGCAGGTAAATCTCTCTAATAAATTAAAAGAAGTTTTAACATTTTCCACACCTTTTGCTAATCATTTATTTTTGATCAAGATTTTTTAAAATTTTTTTGTTTTTAAGCAGGAGGTGATTATGTGACATGGTCGCATAGCAACAGGCCTTTCATTCAAATTTTCTCCCCCTTCTTCTCCTTTTGAGGGTGTGGCTGACCTTGTCCTTCATAAAGACCTTGATATATGCAAATTGTGGTGCTCCGCTCTTGTTTTCGGTTACCTTCAAGTACCCATCCTCATAACGTAGGAAGCCTCGAGAAGCTTCCTTTTTGAGCAGTCGGGGACCGGTTTTTGCATGTAGCATCTAGCTTCTTCCCTGAACAAGTGGATGTGATAAAAACTTGCTGCTATAAATGTAGGAAAAGATAATGCTACTGGCCCCAGTTTTTGAAGACAAATTTTGTATTAAACCTGAATTTTAATGATTATCCTTTATCAAAGAAAGAGTGTGATGACTGGTAATTTTTGCATCTCTTCTTATATAAAAAAGAAGAGGGGAAGGACCTGTCAATAATGGGGGTAATATGATTGTTTGGGCATAGACTGAATGCCTCAGCTTTGAAATAAAGTATCGACGATCCTTTACTGTGATATCGGTGCTACTTAGATTGTGATTTGAGATTGGTGTTTCAGGATGCTGTCAGACACATCAAGGAGAATTACATAAAAATTGATCTTTGAAGTCTTCTTTTCTTTGGCTTAAGTGCCTAACACACAGTAATCGCAGGACAGTTGTTCCAGTGTTCAAAGATGGGTTCCCTAGTGTCATAGAAGTTAAAATGGCTGTCTCATTATTCAAGTGCAAAAATAAAGAAATTTGTGTCCTGGATATAAATAGATTTGATTTTCTTCTTTTGTGTTTTTGAACATTTCATCATCAAAATCTGTTATGGATGACGTTCAACAAGAAGAGGGGTAAGTACCTATTTTTTCAAAGTATCATTGTCAATTATTACTATTGTTGAGCATGATTACAGGTTGAACAAATTGAGAGAGAGTTGCTTAGTTTGATAAATCATAATTCCTAATTCAATAGCAAGCTGTGCTAAGGCATTGTTGTCTTTTACTTGCTCAACACTTGTGTCACATGTCATTAACAAGTAGGTAGTTTCAATATTAGGATTTGAAGGTCATTTTTGGGAGTACTGATAGTGGTAGATCATATCATGATGGTTAGGGGTGGTTTTCACCATTGCACTTATACATCGAGTTAATTATGTATGTTTTACATTGTTATCTTGTTTGAGTTTTAAAACAGAACAACAAAATTGGAATTATGCTTCCAATCATTGCCTCCAAAGTTCCAATTGGAACAGTTTGTAAAATATGAGGATGAATTCTAGATAGAAGTGTGTGGTCAAAGGGGACATCTAAAACACAACTAAGAATACTAAATCTTTAAATCTATGCATTTATATTTTTTATGAAATGAAAATTTTTAACACATAAATACTTGACTTAAATATTTTTGAAGAATAAAATATAATTTTAAAACAGGTTTAAAAAATTTTTTTTTAAGGTTATTAACTTTTTTTTTTCATTTAAAAGTATATAAATATTTTGTTGGTAATAATAATTGTTTTACCCCACAATAATTTCTGCTTGCATTTAGTACAAAATGAATTTAAAATATATATTTAGATGATTTTTTTTTTTATAAAAGTGGATTTTTTTTCCCCTCTTGCAGTGATTATCATTTTTTTCTTTTTTTTTCTTCTAAGGAACATCTTATTAAGAAGATTGCTCCAAGTATCGAAACACCTTTCTATGACACTGATTACATTTGATGAATCTGTGGCATGTGCTAGCCATTTAACATGTTGCATCTTAATTCCATTTATGATAAAAAAAAAAGACTGGCGGCTAAGATCTTAAATACAATTGTGTCACAATAACTTGAAAATAGCTGAATTTTGATTAAACTTCTTGTAAAATTAGTAATTGACAACCTATCTAGTGAGGCCGGGATAGCCTGGTCGGTAGGGCGCTGGGCCCATATCCAAGAGGTCGTGGGTTCGATCCTCGCCGGCTGAAGACTCCCCGTGTAGTAAATGGTGACTGATGCACGTTAAATCTGTCGAGTCTCAAAGTCCTCCATGTTCCCACAACAAATCAATACCTCTGGGGGTACTGATCCAGGAGTTTCCTTGTCTTCTGGATTGGTTCAAAATTACAAGGCTACGGAGTTGAACGTAAGTAGTCGTAAACCCATGAAATTGGGTCGGCTGTTCAACGACGGTTATAAAATAAAATAAAACCTATCTAGTGACATTTTCTTGAAGGCGTGAGCCAAAAGTGGACCTGTGTATAATTAATTTAATGGTCATAATGGTTCGGCTTTACCATGTACATTACATTAAATTAAGAATTATTGTTCACATAAAATACTTTCTACAAAGCAGATTTAGAATAAATATTCATTTGACTTTTAAAATATTTTTGAACACCACCTTATATATTATTAATCAACCACAAGTCAGAGCTTCATGTTTGAGATGAGGAAGAATATTACCTGTGACATTATTTGAAGATGTAGGAATTTTTTCTGTAGCTGCCGCCCAAAATTCTCTTGACTGAAAATAAAATTGTCTTCATTTTAATATTACTAAAATATTTGTTACTAGAAGAGCAATCATAAAATTGTAAAAATACAGGGTGCACTTTAACCCCTGTGCTGAATAATTTCTAAAAATCTAGTTAAAAAATATACACAATAGATGTTGCAAATTAATATCTAAGTGAGAAGAAAAACAAGAATGAATGTTATCAAAATATGATGTGTTATTAACAGGGATGAGAGTAGTCAGAAAGTAAAAAAGAGGAAATCCAAGAATGAATATATATATATANAAATGTGAAAACATATATATATACACACGCAAAAATTTGACAAAAAAGTGAGATCTTTAAACTTGCAAACCATGTGATTATAAATCCTGATGATTAATTTCAAAATTGTATGAATATATAAATATTAATCACGTCTTAATTTTAAATTGAGAGAATATGAGTCCCAATATGAGGCTTTTAAATTACGTGAATATGAAACTCTATATCGAATTTTAAAAAATGCAGAAATACGAATCATGATGCGTAATTTTTAGGCACGTAAACACGAATCACGATGCATAATTTTCAAATCGCTCAAATATAAATCACAATGTCTAATTTTTAAAGCACGTATAAATACGAAAATCGATGTTTGATATTACAATCGCAAAAATGAATCACGACATAGGATTTTAAGCTCGCATGAATACGAATCACTAAATAGGATTTTAAAAGCGCGTAAATACAAATCGCTATGTGTCCCGCAGTGGACTGATCGTTAAGACACGGTTCCCAGCAGACCACCGAAGTCAAGCATCACTGGCTGCTGTCAGTGTGCGGGTGGGTGACCACTTGGATCAGTGTGCGTAGGGACCGAGGGTGTGCTGTATTGGCCCTCGTTAAACTGTTCTACCATAAAGTGCTGGACTTCGCGTACAGATCGTCGGACTACCGAAGCGGGGGTGCCATCCCCTCTGCAGAGGATCAAAATTGTGATAGCATGTCTTTGGATCATCCTCAGGGATGTTTCCCAGACCGTCGCCAATAGCCCATTGTGTAGCTCTAGTGCGAAGTAGATGAACAACAACAACAAATCGCTATATTGGATTGGATTTCGTATAAATACGAAAATCGATGTTTGATATTACAACCGCAAAAACGAATCACGACATAGGATTTTAAGCTCGCGTGAATACGAATCGCTACATAAGGTTTTAAAAGCGCGTAAATACAAATCTCTATATCGGAATTTTAAATCTCGTAAATAAGAATCGCAATGTACGATATCTAAATCGCCTGCATAAGATTCGCAACGTTCAACTTTTAAATCAGGTAAATACGAAAATCAATGTTTGATAATAAAATCGCGAATTTAAAAATGCATAAATACAAGCGCGATATTGGATTTTTAAATCTCGTAACTAAGAATCATAATGTACGATGTTTAAATAGCGTAAATAAGAATCGCATTGCGCAACTTTTAAATTAGGGAAATACGAAAATCGATGATTGATATTAAAATCGCGAGAGACTGGACTTGGGATTTCTAAAAGGCTTGTTTGTATTGTTTTTGTTTCGACATAATAAATAAAAATTTACAGATTAATTGAATGAGCAAATAAATATTTTCACTGGAAATCCACCTCTATTATTTTATTTATTATTATTATTATTATTATTATTTTTCGTTTGCTTTCACGCCAGACAACAGGGTCACGACGTCGAATTGCAGGGACGAATTGCAAAAATACGAGCTATCCGGTGGACGAATAAAAATACGGAAAATCTTATTTCCTGTGAAGAGAAAATAGCTAAAATTGGTAAAAATACGGAAGGGTTAGCAGCTAGGATGTAGTTTGAATTTTCTGTTTATCTTTGAAAATCGTAAATAAATACGATTATTTCATTTTAATGATTGAATTTTCAAAAAAAAAAAAAAAAAAAAAAAAAAAAAAAAAAAAAAAAAAAAAACGGGATACTTATTTTTTAAAAAAAAAAAACTAAACTTTTAGAGAATCCGAGTTTTTGATAAAAAGGCTGAAATGTGAAAAAATCTCATCCCTGTATAAAGCTTTATCAACCAGCTTTATCCCAAGGTAATGAGTTTTTGAGAAACTTCAGAGGGAGGAATGAGGACTTCAATGCTCTCGCTCCGTGGAAAATTAAATTTCTAATAAAATATTTTAACTTGTTCAAAAAAAAATTTGCGTGGAAATTAGCTGAAAAAATGGAAAAATCTAAAAGAAAGCGGAAATTCGCGAATCCGAGGAGGAATCTCATCCCTGTATTATCAAGATCACTGTCATAAAAAGAAGAAGAAAAACAAACGCTTGGTTTTGTTATTTTTCAATATAATAAAATATTAGTAAATAAAATAATAACATAAAATAATTGTAGAAAGAAAAGGTTTTGTTAAATAACAATACACTTATATATTTTTTTTTTGCTTTTTCAAGTAGTGAGTAGAATATTTTCTTTTAAGTCTATTAAAAATGAAATGAAACATATTAGACATTTATTACCAATAGTAAATATTAAAGGAATAGTTTCCTAAGATTTGGCTACTAAAAAAATTGCTTAAATGAAGGTGAAATTTAAAGTAGCAAAGTCAATCTGATTGCTGCAGGAAAATAGAGCCTTTATAGTAATCGTATTCCGCCTCCTTTCTGATTATCAACTGGTTTTGGGTTTTGATACTTTTAATACCACCTTCATCATGGTTGAAGTTGATTTTAATTGATTATGATTAATCAGATTTAAGAGACTTTTTTTTTCACTTAAAAATATATTTATATTATTTTATTTTTGGTTGGGATTTTAAAAAAAATATTAAAGTCAGTGGTTTAGTAATACTCTGTATTATTGATTGATAAATTTAATCTATAAATTTGTATTATTGATGTTGTATACAAGAGAGAAGAGTTTATATCTCTAAATCACCTTTCTAGATATTTTTTAAAATTAATTACTTTAAACTATTAAATTATGAATCAAGTAAAAAAAAAATCTAAACCTTCACCCAAAAGAAATTTTGCAAATTTTGTTTTTGAATTACATCTGTATCCAAAATTATCTGTATTGTAAGGTAATAGTTATATATTTTCAGATAGCTTATTTTTTCTCTAGTAAGAATCTGTACTCTAATAATTTATTAAAACAGTTTTTAAAAAAAATTGACTGTTAGCAATTTGATGTAATTGCAATGTCATTTTATTAAAATCATGGTTTTAAATATATTGGATAAAAAAAGCAGTTAAGCAAAATTGATCATTATTTTATGAGCTATTTTAACATATTTGCATAACAATTTTCTGCCAAGCTCAGTTACTAAATTTAATAATAAAGTCAAGCAGTCTCTCAAAAGCCTGTTGCAGGTAAAGATCAAAGACGTTTAGACTTCATAACTTTGTGACACATGGCATGATGGTGGCAATGTGGGCAGCATTGCACATCAGTTGCCTTTTTTTTTCTTCATACAAGCTGGGACAAGCTTGAAGCTGCTGTGGAGTGTAACACCCCAGTCCATCACAACAACAGCCCAGTGCTTTAACAAAACCCCTAACCAACTGTTATATCATGGCTTGCTTCATTTAATAAAGCTAAGAAAAATTCGTTTACATTTTTCTTACATTTCTACATATAAAAACAAAACAGGCCCTATCAAGAACTGGGTTCAGGTTTGAGATTGAAGGATAAATTAATGTTAACTGATGAAAGCCTTGAATTAAATTTTCTCTCTCTCTCTTATCCTTTTTTCTAATGTTCTTTCTATTTCAGCTGGTATAATTTTTAATGTTTTAACTATCTTTAAGTATTACATAATTAAAAAAATTAAAATCATGTTTGAGATCAATAATAATGTTGAATCTGTCAAGTATATTATCATTGATAATGAAATTCCAGATAGTAATTATAAGTTTTGATCATCATCTATATACTTACAATGCAATCTCTTGAAGTATTCACTACGGCTTCAGTTTGACTTGTGGATTGTGTTTCTTGTTCTTTTGTCTTTTTAAAACATATATCATTTCTTAAAACTTTTTTAAATTCTTCTTTCACCTACAAAAAAAATTTGCATAAGTAAAAATTTGCATAAGTAAAAATTATATATAAATAAAAAACACAACACCTTAATAAATTTTGATCAAATAAACAGATTTTCATGAACTAAGATGCAATCTATAATTTGAGAGATTAAATATGCTAAAATATTTGTGCAGAGGGTATTTTGATTTACAAAACCACAAGGAAAAAAAGGTATTAATGGAATTTAAATAGTCTTGACTTCAGACTTGCTTCTGGTTATAGACGACCATGCTCTTGACGGTCACTATAAATTATTATAGGATTTATATTAAGTTCTAAAATCTTCTGGATGATATTTCATACAAATTAAATCCAAATTGAAAGATATGTCTTAGTTTTATTTATGAATATATCATCATTTTTTGTCATAATGTTTATAATTCTATGGCGAGGCCAAATGAATGGTTTTGTTTGTCCTCTTTGACAGTTACTATTTAAAAAGGAAAGCATAAGCTTGTTGTAGCTTATGAGGAGGCAATTAATAACTTTTGATTTATACTTTGTTTTACTCATTATTAGCTACGATGATAACCTTGGGCCTAAGATACATTCCTATATTTGCTTTGGTACTCAATAAAAAGAAACAGAAAAACTAACTCCTGGTTTTGTTACTTTTACATACAATAAAATATTAGTAAATAAAATAATACGAAATAATTGTAGAAAAATAAGAAGTTTTGTTAAATAATGATAAATTTGTAGATTTTTTTTGCCTTTTCAAGTAGTGAGTAAAATATTTTCTTTAAGTTTATTAAAAATGAAATGAAACATGTTATACATTTATTACCAATAGTAAATATTAAAGGAATAGTTTTCTAGGACTTGGCTTCTTTAGAAACATTACAAAAATTGCTTAAAATACACAACTGCAATAAGAAAAGTAAATATCAAAATCAATATCAGTTAAAAAGTCTAATTAAAATGTATTTTAAAATGATTTTCATTAAGATTTGTTAAATTAGGTTAAACAATAAAGTTAACAGAGATGTTATTTAAAGTTACCTTTTCATTTTGAAAACAGTATAAAATTAGAATTGCAGCACCTTGAATGCTGTTGAATATTGAAAATATAAACGCTAATGAACTGGATCGCTCATTAATAAATAAGAAGGCTGATGTCCATGTGCAGCATAAAATTGTAATTAAAATAAAGCTTCTTCTGTTCCACTTTCTGGAAAATAAAACATTCAGTTTAAAGCAAGTTAAGTATGCAGTAAAATTTCTACATACATACAAATTTTTTAACTATTTATCAATTTACACAATATGGCAAAAAAAAAAAAAAAAAAATCCCGGGAAAGCAATTAAAGGCAAAGCCTTAAACAAATCAGGCTCAATCTAAGTGAAGAGCAGAATAAAAGCATCAAGAACAGTTTGATTGTTAGATGAAACTAAATGGCTTTTTTATTATTGCTTCTTATTTTCTTGCTTTTTGATTGAACTCATTCAACAATTTTTACTCTTTAATTAATTATATATATTTTTTTTAAAAAAAAACAGTATTTTTTAGAGTAAGCAGGAACATTGATTTTAGTAGTGAACTAAGCTCAACTGTACAAAAAATTTACCATTAAGTTTTATGAATTTACATTAATTGTTGTATTTCTCTCTAATAGGCAGTAGTTTTATTAACTCTTTGTAATCCACTGTCCAGTGATACACGGTATTTCAGCTTGGTCGAAAAAGTTTAATGTCAATGTCCAATCAGATTTCAATGGCTACTTATAAGGATTTCTCTGAGTTGTTGAGTTAAAATATAACTGTTGAGCTAAAATGTAACTTAAACCTTTGTCTCTTATTTTTTTTCCTTCACATTCTAATAAAATCAGTAGACTGGAAAAAATTTAGAAAATGAAGAGTAATTTAGCATAGTATGTAATAGACACCTTCTAATTCAAACATTAATCTACCTGTTAATAATTAGTCATTAGAAATCATAATCGAAATTTATTACATATTTTTTGTACCTAATACTAAGATTATTTGTGGAGGGGGGTGAAAAAAAATTAAATATTTTTTTAACCTATGAATTGGAATTTCATTTTTGCTAATTCCAGACATTAAAAAATCAATCAAATTATTGCAGTATTAACTTACTTAAGTGTTAACTTACTTAAATGTAGAAAGGTTAACATCAGTATTTCCTATGATTGTAGTTGTAAGTGACATTTTGTGAAAAAACATGCATAGTGCAATACACAAGAATACCATTCCACCCTAAAAAAAAAATTAAAATTTTTATAAAACACGCCTTGAAGAGTACAATTGAATAAATTATAACAGTTTAAACTTACTTCATTCTATTGATGAAATATTATATTTAACTTTTCTTAATTGATAAGAAGAAGTATGAACTTAAACATAAAATTTCATAGTTATAATATGAATTTTTTTATTTTTAAAATCGAATCTAGTATGTTTAGTACTAATAAAGTGGCAATGAGATTTTGAGTAAGATGCTTGGAAATGGTAAATTTGAATTTAGTAATCTTTTTCTCATTTGCAAAGATATAAAATTTAAGAAGAATTCAATTACAAAGTTTCAAGGTATCATTGATATGGTAAAAATAAATCTTGTAAAATGTACGGAATGTTCACAAAAATCGAAACTAGTAAAGTAACAATAAAAACTGAAATATTGCTGTTCATGTGAAAAGTCCCATGTCATACTTATTCGATTCTCAAAAATAATGTGCACAATATTGGTACAGAAATGCTGATTTTTTTTGTTAATCTCCAGTATGGGATGATTTTAAATTTTTACGATGCTTAATATTTTATTTACTTAAGATTTAGCATAAAAATAAACAAGTAAAGAGAAAATATGTCTGTACTTACTAATATTATTCCTACAGCTGGTCCAACAAAACTGAACACAAAATAATTATCAGCACGAAGCCAACAATAATATTTTGTTCCGTAGCTTAGAGGATCAATTATAGCAGAAACTCCAGTAATGATTGCTGGTAAAAGATAGGAAGCAGCATAATACCAATAGCATTTTCCTTTTTTGACATCACAAGATCGAATTAAAGTTATGTACTGGTGATAACATTCAAAAAACATCCAAGAAAAAGTAGCCAGAAACAAGTACTGCAAGAATCCAGCAATAACAGCACAAGCAATATAATGGTCTGTTTGGTTAATGCCAGCTATAAAAATCAATTCCGAAAGAAGAAGGCAGAAAAACATGTTTCTATGAATGAAAACACTGTCTTCTGTCAAGTCCACACTAAAAAAAAAAAAAAAAATTGTCACAAAGGCTGAAATATTTTTCTGTTAATAGCACTCATTTTTCAAATAGATTTTAAAGAAGGTTTCTTTTAGTTACATTAAATTATAATTGTTATATAAATAAAAAATTGATAACTTACATAAATATTATTTATAAAATGTAGAAATCAGTATAGGTCAATTAAATGTTATAGAACTCTTAAGCTATTCTAATTTTAATAACATGATATAAAATGTTAAAAAAAAAAATATGCTAACGTTTAAATTTTTACTGAAATAAAGTTGACTGGATATTCCTAGATTAAAAAACAGAAATCGAGGAGTTTAGGTACTTTGTGCAAAATTAATGCATTTCTAATAACCTCAAACTGTCTGCATTTGTTTTTGCTTTCAGTCATTTAAGCAATACCACAATATAGAATAATTTTAATGCTTTCAAATTTGGAATATTTTGAAGACATTGCTCTGTATAAGCCCGAAAGGTAAAAAGTGATGGCAAAATGTTATTCATATACATATGTATATAATTACGTTTTTTCTCGCCATTTGAAAACCTTTGAAACGGCAAGTTCACCTTTTGACCTTTTTGTTCTCCTTCTGTTTGTGTCCACCTTTATCAATAATTTAAAAATTTGTATTTAGAATTGAAATCATAGGGATGTACATTTTAAAAATTTAAGAGGTAGCTAACAAAATAAACATACTCAGGTTTAATGGAAATTTACTACCATGTTTAAGAAATTTGATTTTAAATATTGTATCAAATAGAATACTTTTGGCATTAAAAAGTTAACTGTAAATTGACTAAATACTTAATACAAAAGTTGCACATTTAGAAATCTTGGTATGAGAGTCATGTAATCTGATTTCATTCCGTTCAAGTTTGAATTTCATTACGTATCGTAAAAATAAATTTTACATACTTTGTTTAAGAAAAAACAGACAGAATATATAGATATTTCCCCTTTAAGTTAAAAATTATAATTTATATGAAGTTACAATTTTACCTACTAAAGAGTTTGCTTCTTTAATTTTTTTTTATTATTTATGTTTATACATATTTAAAAGTAAAAAAAAAAAATGCTTTAAACACCATTTACTCTTAAATTATATCTAAAATAAAACTGGTTTTAATATATATTATGGCATAATATTAAACAAGCAGTCAGTGCCAGATTAAGTAGGGCCTCAAGAACCAAATTTTTTAGGAATTTCACCAGGGGCCCAAAAATTGAAGGAAGTGAAACTAATTTGTTTTTTAAAAACTAATTCAATGTATTTCCCATTTTTGACAAATTGAATTTAATGTACCTCTCAAGAATGATGTGTAAGGTAAATTTTCACAACTGCTCCCTCCCAATTCTCTAATTTTATCAATTAATCATATTTTTATTTAAGTCACAGGAGTTTGGTATTTCTTATCAGCAATCTACAACCACATATGAAGCAAACTTTTCTGGCAGTACTGGAATATAAGTTTACTAAAAAAATTACGACTAAAAATTTTTCTCTGAGTTTTCTTTCAACTTACTTAATCTATCGACAAAAAGTTCTTTGTTCTTGATGGCCTCTAAAATAATCATTTCTGCTTTTAAGTGTTTTTCTTTCAATTATTTTTGTTGATTATTTTAATTAAGTATTTACATAATTATTCTTTAATTAATTTTCTTTTGCAATTTTGTAAAATTTTAGTTTCATTTTCCTAATTAATTCAAGGAATTGTTTTAAAATGTTTTGTTTTTTAAATGCTAACAATTAAAAAAGAAATTGAACTGTGTTTACATGTGTGCATTTTAGGTCTTCATAATAGCTGTAGAATAATACAAGTATAAATTGTAAATGTAGCATTTGACTGATAAAAAATATTTACCGAACTATCAATTTCAGTCAGGTATTTTTAGCCATTATAAAAACTCAGCAGTAAACATGTTTTAATGTTCAATGCAGTTTAAATATTTAAAAAAAAAGTTATAATTGAATATATGATCCTTTGTGGCTCATTTGCAATAAATATGGCCCTGTACATCAATCCGGCTCTGCAAAATTTGTGGTTAAATTAAATACTGGTATTGTGCATCAATGCTAACTATAGTTAAGCAAAATAAAAAAGTGGATTATGCATAAAACAGTATTTAATGTTGATCTGTGATAAACTATTTTTGCATTCAGCTGTAGTTTTCAGATTCTCATTTTTATCACAAGGATGAGAAGTTGATGGTTATAACCTTTTTCTCTAAGTAATTTTTCAGCGAAAAAATTTACATGTAGTAATAAATGGATTGCATTATTATGATGATTACTATCCTTATTATACTTTAAATAGTGAGTGTAAATAATTTTTCAGAGAAAAATTTAAATGTAGTTATAAATAGATTGCAATATCATGATGATTACCAACCTTATTATACATAAAATAGTGAGTGTGATCATCAATGAAACAATGGAAATTATGCATCCAACCATAATAATCATACTCAGGAAGTCTTTATCCATTGGCATTATCTGAAATAAAAGTAACAGATATATGTTAATAAAAAGTAGTCAAAACAAACCTACAAAGAAACTGATTCGCCATTTGTCTATAAAAATAAAACTTAATTAAGAAGTATTTTGTTCATTCTTTTGATAAAACTATCTTTAAAAAAGGCATTGGTTGCCTGAGAATGACCATAATTTATCAAGGTAATATAAATATTTCTTTTAATATATGTCATGAAAGTATATCAGAAGAATATATTTAGAGATTTTCAAAATGTAACTCCGAATTTTTCTACCAACGAGTCAGTTTAGCACATCCTGCATGGTGCTAGCGTTATGTATTTATACTTATTGGTTGCTTTTATATCAGAAAAATTTCTGATTTTGTAATTTCAATATTTTAGTTATGTTTACTGTCTTATATTATTTTGCACTCTATTTAACTGACTGAACATTTCTTAAATTCATTCAACTATTTTCACTAACTAATAAACATGCTGAGTTTCTCTTGATTTTGCTCATACTTACTGATTCTGCTTGTAAATTCATCATTAGTGCAAAATTTGTCAGATGATTACAAAGGCAAACTGTATGAGATTTGTTACTTGACTCAACCCAGCAACCTTGAGGGGACCAATCTCTGTAAAATTAAAGTGTTTGAGTTAAAACATGTGAAACCATTTTTTGAACAATTAAAAAAAAAAAAAAACTACTTACCTCAAGAAAAAATCCCAATACACGCAAACTGGTGATGTTACATTTTCTTCCTACGATGGTAAAGATAAATATTTAATATATGCAAAATATAGTCAGTTCCATTAAAAAAATAAACAATATAAAGATTGATAAATCATTTTAACCTATAGAAACCAATATTGCAAATTATTATATGGAAGGGTTACCTACTTAAGATCACTAGGAGATTTTTAATGAGCAGTGTGCAAAAGTAAAATTAAAGCTTTGGACCAAATTATAAAATTTTCATGCACTTAGATGCAATCCTAATTAAACTCACCACTTAGTCTAGATGCTATTTTAAATTAAGAAATTAGAGCCCAAAACATTATTTCTCTGAATAAACATATTTTTGTTTCTGTCAAATTCAGATATTTTATACTCATAATAAAGGAGTTAGTTGCAATCTGGAAAATAGAATTGGAACCTCTTAATGTTAAATTTTATATTTTTGTATTACACCATGTCCGTGAAACTATTTGAGAGAAACAAGCAATCAATTTTTAGCTCTAAATTGTTAAAAGTGTTTTATCCAAAGATGATAAAAGAATAATTTTTTATTATATAATTATCAATTTCTAAGAGCCTAATGATGGCATTACACTATTTTGATTTCTAATTATTACCTTAAACAATTGATGATATCATACCTAAGATATCTAAAACTAATGTCTTGATGTAAGAAAGAAATTTTCATCTCTTAACAGTACAATATACACTGATGGAAAAATAAACCCAACAAACATTGTAGAGAAATGAAATTTCGGCAATATGTTTGTCTGAGTAACATATTTAATTGATTAAGTTTCAAGATCACAGGTTAATGCAATTAAGAGAAAAACTATTTCAAGTGTGAAATACCTGGTGCATTAATAGCCAGTGTAACCACCAGAATTTTGAATGCAAGCATGCATTGTGTCATACAGATGTCATACGTCATTTTGTGGGATGGAGTTCCATGCCTGTTGCACTTGGTCTGTCAATATGGGGATAGTTGAGGCTGGTTGTGGATGACGCTAAAGTTGTCATCTAATGATGTGCTCGATTGTTGAAAGATCTGGTGATCTAGCAGGCCAAGGCAACATGCCGACATTCCGTAGAGCACGTTGGGTTACAACAGTATGAGGGCGAGCGTTATCCTGTTGGAAAATGCTCCCTTGAATGCGGCTCAAGAATGGCAACAAAACAGATTGAATCACCAGGTTGATGTACAAATTTGCAGTCAAGGTGCATGGAATAACCAGGAGAGTGCTCCTGTTGTCATAGAAAATTGCTCCCCAGATCATAACTCCGGGTGTAGGTCCAGTGTGTCTAGGCCGGAGACAGGTTGGTAGCAGGTGCTCACCTGGCCTCCTTCTAACCAATATACGGCTATCACTGGGACCAGGCAAAACTGACTTTCATCAGAAGACACAATAGATCTCCATTCTGACCTCCAGTGAGCTCTAACTCAACATAAATCATGTCTTAAACGGCAGTGGTTTGGAGTGAGTGGAATACAAGCTACAAGGCATCTTGCTTGGAGCTGTACTTGAAGTATCCGATATGTAACAGTTTGTTGTGTCACTGCATTGCCAACTGGCTCGAATTTTTGATGCTGATGCAGTATAGTGCGCCACAGCCATACACAGCGGTCTTCCCTCTGAGTAAGGTGGCATGGACGCCGCCCCGAGCTTGGTCTTCCTGAAGCAGTACCTTCTCTTGACCACTGCGGCAAATGATCATACGCAGGGAATACATTTCTCCCCAGTCTTTCTGCATTACCGCAGAATGGAAATCTACTTTCTTCCAGGCTTATTACATAACAACAAAGTCAGTGAGCTGTTGATAATAGCTTCTTCGCCTTCTTCTTTCTTGACTAAAAACAACTCACCATGTCAAAATTTAACAAAAAATAATGTTTAAAAACTATAGAACATGTATTTAAAGCAATTCTGATTTCTATGTTCACAGTTGCGCTACTAGCGCCAAGTGTGAAATTTGATTAGACCTCTTTTAGTTGTATAAACAAGCATACCAAATTTAGTTTATCTAGCACAACTCCTTGCTGTTGGAATTTTTTCCCCATCAGTGTATGTATTAACAGTGCAATATTGGTTTGAATTTTTTGTGATGTTGCCCCTATCCTCTATAACGAATTAGGTGAGGCATATTATTTTGTAGGAAGATGTATTAAATTCTATAATTTGTTTCTAAATATTCAAATTACAATAGATTTACAATATATATACAACTTGGTGATTATAGATGCTTGTCATAGCATTTTTGTACACAAAATTCTATAATTTATTTCTAAGTAATGAAAGTAACAATATGTTACTTAGAGATTACTGAAATTAGTAATAAAAAATGACATTATACTCACTATGAGATGTTTAAAAGTAACAATAACAGGCTGGTCCAGTTTGTTATTACCGCTTTTATCAATAGATGCTCCAATAATTCTAGAATTTATTATCTGGGAAATATTTTCCGACTCATGTTCTAGGGTTACTTGAGAAGATGTTGGTTTAAGATAAGTGTTCAATTTGTTGAAAGCAATGAACACTACTTTATAAAACCCTAAAAACCAGAAACACATTTGAACATCATCATAATACTTATTTTAATATAAAACATTATAAGAATTCAGTAAAAAAACATACTTCAATAACATTGAAATCCTTTAACATTTAAACAAATAATATATAAAATTTTGAGCATTAATCACCATTTCTCTCATAACTTTCAATAGCTTTATGAGGAAGAACAATACTGTCTTGCATATATAACCAATTTGTGTTTTCATCTTCTGTTGATAATTCATTCATAACTGGAAAAGTTAAAGTCCTTGGATTCTTGGATTTTAAAACTTGAAGAGACATTACTATAAAGAAAAGTAAAAATATAATTACAGTAAAAGTGTAACAAGTAGTTTGTAAAATATATTTATTTTCATGATATGTTTTTAAAAGAAAATCAAGAATGATGACTTGATTGCAAAACCCCATGTTAAATTTAGTGATTATTACCAATTTATAGGTTTTTTTCTTTGTCAATGAAAGTGATTCTTTTTCTTACTGTTCTTAATTATCTAAGAAAATTGAAATAAAGATTGTTCGTAAAATGTTTTTCTCAATTCCTTTAACAGGTGAACTTATTTTTTTATACTAGTTTTCTTTTTTTAATTTTCACTTACTATCTATTTCATATTATTAATGACAAGGATATTCAAGAAGCAGTTAGGCATATATATGCCTAACCGCTATGAGAATAATAAAGATTTGAATGTTGCAAATGGCTGTTTGCTGTTTTTAATTGTGTGATGAGTAGCTGATTCACATATAGTAGATTTAATGTGTGATACATTCATCTTCATACACTTGTAATTTTTAACATAATTTGGGGGTAAATGTACTCCAAAATCAAATAACAGGGAAGTTTGCCATCTTTGAAGAATCTGTTTTACTACTAGTATGTATACAGCATTAAAAACAATACTTATTTAATGTTTAAAAAATCTAAAATAAAATTAGAATTTAACAAGAAAAAAGTAAGACTATTTTTTAATGGCATGTAATTTTTTTTTCAATTTTTGAATTCAGGTCTACGAATGATGGTCCTTTTTTTTCTACTTTGGTTTAACTAGCTTTGAGCATGTCTGCTTGTTTTTCTTCAATGAAATTTCAAAACTCATGTCATTGCAAAGCAACATATGGCATTCTAACAAGACTTTTTGACTGATGCATTTAGTTTACATCAATGGAAATTCCAGGAGGAATCTTTGGTGTATATATATATATATTGTATACTATGCTTTTTCTCATAAATATAATTAGCTACACATTGAATTAAAAGTTATGAATTTTAATCTGATTCAGTAAGGTCCTACTTGACATCAAAATTTTAATGGTCAAATGAACCCCAAGACACTTTGAAATGATACCATTTGCATTATTCAAATAATGAGTTTTTCATTATGTATTTCTAGTTAATGGTGTCACTTAGTTAGAAAACAAACATTTCTATGTTTTTTAATGAAGCTTATTTCAGTACTGTTTACATAAAAAAAACTGTTTACAGAGTACTAAATTATTTGATTGTTTGAAATGTTAAATTTTTTTTTGCTAATACATTTAATAGGTTTCAAGTAGACTACCTTTAATTCATTACTTACATATGTTACTCTTTACTAAAATAAACGATCCATCTTCACTTGATGTTTCAGCTAATAACAGAGCACTTTGATCAAGACTGCTAAGAATTGTTGAGATAAGAATTTTCTTCTCAGCTAAAGCTATGTCTTTCCAAGCAGGATCTTGCTTGTTTTCAAGCAAGTTACTTAAAGTAAGGACGGATGACTGAAAAAAAAGAAGAAATTTATTAAGATCTAAATTTCAGATATTTTTAGGAGCTTTAGAAAATTGAACAATACATTTATAGTTCTATCGTTTTTACTTCCCATAATGTTATTTTCCACAGGAAGTTTGGGGGTGTCTTTGTGTGTTGTTTAAAATAACCAAATCTAAATTTATCAAGCCAATTTTACATTCACGAGTTATTTTATTAATTTTTAATCTTATGCCAAAATCATTTTCTTAATTTACTAATTTTTTAAAAAAATGTTTCTTTTGCCTAGGTTCTTTGCATTCTTTAGAACAAAGCATTTCCAACAGTAATTATCCCTTTTACAACATGGTGATTCTTTCAAACCTCATCAAAATTAAGAAAACTAATTCAAAAATTTAATTTAAACCGTTTAAAATAAATTACTTTTTTTAATAGTGAGTTTTTCTTTTCTTCTTTTAAACTGCTGGATCTAAATCAAAAACTAATATTTTCAATTCCAATTTTGAAAGCTTTATATATATTTGAATTAAAATTTGGAAAGCTGCATATATGAAGCTTTCAAAATTAGAATTAAAAATTTTAGTTTCGGATTTAGACACATTGATGGCTAACTTTGCAGTTGTGCTTCCTATATAGTAATTTATAACATTTGCTAACTTTATACAAATATTGGTATGAATAATTGATATGTTAGATCAAAATGCAAGTCAAATATTTAAAACGTGATTTTGAACAAAAAAATGTACATGAAGCAAAAGCTAATGCTTTAAATAGAGTTTTGGAATTGTAATCTAAATTACAAAAAGTAGAGACATCATATCTGTGCACATGAGTTACACCACATTTGTACTATATAACAAAGATGACATTTCTTCTTTGGAATTAAGAATATATTAGAACAAGATTAGTGAAACCTTACAACACGTAATAACTATATTTTAGAAAACAAATGTTGGATGAAGTTTCAGAGATTGAAACCTGGATCAAAATGTTAAGAGGTTTTAGAACAATTGTAGTCCGAAATATTTGTGATTTAAGGAGCATTCTTGCTTGAGAAATAACTTTATAAATTTTTATGCTTTTAGGTATTTAGAAAAAACTCTTTTTATCAAATTTTAGGGAGCTTTAAATCTATCTTTTAAATAGTTAGACATACTACGTACAGTGGGCCAAAAAAGGACTACACTGAATAACTTTTGATCTGATGATCGGATTTGCACGTTCTCGGACTCAAACTTAATTGTTTGAAGGGATGATCTACAATGCCCACAATATAGGGGGTAGCCGCAATCTGGAAAATATGGTCCCCAGAGTTTGGGTCAACGGAGTAATCCAAAGTTTTGACCAACCCCATAATAATTTAACTTTTTGTGTATTTCACCATATCTTGAGAACTTTTTAAGCGAATTGAAAATTTTTGCACACAATTATAAAATTCGTTTATCTCAAGATAATTCCACACACAAAACAAATTTTTACATTTATAGGTAATCAATAAATGATTGTGCCTTATTTTGTAACTTAAAATATTGTACTTAATTAGCATATTTGAGAGCACCCCTTTGAACCATTATGTTTAAGTCCTAGAACGTGCAGATCCGATCATTAGATCAGAAGTTATTCAGGGTGGTCTGTTTTTTTTGGAGCATTCTACATTATATAAATGCTTTTTTATTAAAAATGTTTTCTGATCTATATTCATAGATCAGGAAACATTTGTCTTGTCTCAACTATTAGTTTTGTTGAGCAACATAATGCAGTAGGCCTAAGTAGAATGCAATATACTAATTGGTAAAGGCATAAAAGAGGAATGTTTAATTTTTTAAAATTTGAGAATGTATTTTTCTTTGAATATCATAATTTTAAAGCAAGCTTAAAGAAACATTAAATTTAAGTTCATTCCCTTTCTATAATTTCCTGACATTTTAAAAGAATTATATAATAAATTTTAATAATTTATGAAAACATTTACTCACCTGCAAAAGTTCTCGAAGAACATGATAGCGGTGCCAAGTGTCCAGATAATTCTCCATACTATTCACGCTTTTATATAATGCTTGGTTTATCATCTCACTTATAATTTTCAAGTCTTCACTAAAGAGTTGTTTTGATATAGACATAACAGCAAGTTCTGACGCAACCTTGATAATGGAATCACCAATATCCATCTAGGGTATTAGAAGCACATTAAAATCATTTCAACATTAAAACATTTTGAAAATAAAGTTTATGTGATTGTTGATAGAAAATAAAAAAATATGATAACATATATCACAATATAAATTTAACAGAATTGGTTTTACTTATTAGAATATTAAACTTGTATGATTGTAGCATTTTGTCGAAACATAAAAATCATTAGAAATTTCAAAAAGTTTCATGTTTGGTAGAAGCAAATTAATACTAATTAATAGAGGACTAAAGGCAGATATTGTTATAAAAATATATTAAATGCCAAACTGTTTCTTGATGGTAAAAATAAAAGAGCAATGTGTTTATGCATATAATATTCCACTGCCATGCATATGATATTCCATTATAACAGCTTTATTCATCAAGAACTGGTATTGTTATCAATTAATTGATCTACTCTGCACTCTCTGACAATGAAGAAAGTACTATCATGAGAAGTTTCTCGATAGCAAAAATCACAGAATAATGTTTCCACACATTAGATATTTTTTCTCCATCACACTGCATCGAATATTGCAAATTACTTAAGTATGGGGATAGTTTTATCGAACTTATCTACAGAAGATCATAATGCATGTCCTATTTTTATTGTTAGAAGGAGTCTAACCAATAGATGCATATGTTGAATAGATCATTGATATCAGTTATTAACATCTTTATAAATCTAGCATCATGGCTTAGTGAGTTACATTTCAACCCCTTCTTTTAACTTTTATATTAATTTGCATCAGATACTGAGCATATTTTTTGACAAAGATATTGAAAATAAATTTAAGGGATTTAAGACAACGGAACACAATTTAAGCACAAGATATTTTAGATAAATCGTTTCATAATAATTAGTTAAAAAGATAATTAATTAAACCTATTCAATATATTTCCTACACATATTTTGACATTTGAATGAATTTTTATAAGGTTTTGCGAAACAAAATTTCAGAAAATTAAAACTACATGATAAATTTTACCATAATCAAGCTTATTGTTGTGACCGTTTATTATAAGGCATGGGATATGTATTTAGGATGATTGACAATGATAGCACTCATATTGATAACTTATAACATAACAATAACTTTATTCACAATACATACATAGAACACATCAACAATAGAACATACTGGAAACCGAAACTGAAACATACAATGTAAACACAGTTGCAGTTACATCACAACCGCGATACTAGCGCCACTGGAATTACATGGAAGATCCCAACACTTATGAATATTTTTTCTACAATGTTTGCGTCAAATAAAGCTGTTGGTAGTATTATATTTAGAGTTTTACAAAATCTTTTTATGTGATTTCTGATATATTGATAAGGAGTCTTTTACATTATTTGGATATTAAAATTCTGAATTTTATTTTTCAAAAACTGTGCTTTTAAATTAAAGAGTTTGGAGTACTATGGTGATAAGCTACACTTTCTCCAAAGGTTGCATTTTTACATCAAACCGTTTATTAGTGTTATTTCTAGATAGGTATTTTACAAGTTTCTAGAATTTCTATTACATAACAACAGCACAAAAACATTTATTATCTACAATCATGGTGTTTTTTTCTTTTTATTCAAAATGTTAAACTGAACATGTAACTAAACAAATATGTAACTAATACATATATATAACCTATATAACATATATAACCTATGTAACTAAACAAAATGTTCAACTGAATAATTTGAAAATGTACCCTATCATTATTTGCCTGAAGCCCTTCAAACAAACTTAAGAACATTTTGAGATTTATAAATAAGTGAAAAATTAAAATATAATTACTCTTTCTTTTAAATTTTCAAGCCAAAAAGATTGACATCTCATTAGATCAGGAAACTCAGGACTCCAGTGAGGAGGATAGCCTTCACAATACCATTTAGCAGAGCCTACAAAATAAATCTATTGAATGAAAATACATTTGAACAAGTTTATCTTTGAATTAAGAAATATTAGTGTCTAAGTCATTGTTAGTTTATCTAAAAAAGAATTAAAATAAAGTAGAACAAAACACTTCAAATTTACATGTATGTATGTTCATAATGTAATGTGTATATATATAATTAGTAGAGTATTAAAATTTTAATTTAAAAGTAGTTTTCTTTGCATTTTTTAAAATTTCTCTAATTTTATAATCATATTTTTATCAAAATTTAAACCCAAAATTTTATTTCACTCTATTCACCATGTATGTTCATAATGTAATGTGTATATATATACAATTAGTAGAGTATTAAAATTTTAATTTAAAAGTAGTTTTCTTTGCATTTTTTTAAATTTCTCTAATTTTATAATCATATTTTTATCAAAATTTAAACCCAAAATTTTATTTCACTCTATTTATTTTAAAGGTGCATTTGCTTTTGATATGGAAGCCAAAATTATTCATTTTTTATAAACAGATGTATATACAGCTTCTAGCTTTGACTTAAAATATCCCTGTATCAGGTGGATAATGAACAATGCTGTTGGGCTAAGTATGAGAGGTTTTTGTGATTTTTCTATCTACATAACACTATTGTACTATCAGTCTGGCTAGAAAAATCCTGTCTGCCTTGTACTCAGGAGTTCCTTTTACTTGGACCTAGATTCAAAATTTTAGTTACAAAACATTACATTAAGTTGTTTCTTGCTAGTCCTTAAAGGGAGTAAATGAAATTATTTTTTGTGGTGATTATTCTAATTACAACTAGTACCTAATCGCAAATTACAATGCAGTTACTGAACTTCAGAAATGTAATTAGAAATTTGTAATAATTTTTGCCGTGGTGGTAATTAGCTTTACTCCAGTGGTATAATAATAATCATTTAGAGGCAATAAAATAATAGAGTATTTATAAATAGAGCCGATTATTACGAATAATGATAATGTAATTATAAATAGAGATATAAATAGTATTAAAAATAGTATTTATAAATAGAGGCAATAAAATAATCATTTAGAGGTAATAAAATATTGTTATTGTTAATAAAATATTGTAATTGATGTACAGATAATGCTGATGCATTTGTAGAGCATAAAATTATAATTCTAAACTATGAGGAAATTAGTCACCAGTAATAAAATATTGTTATTCTTCAACCATTCTTAAAAAAAAGAACCTGATGCAGTAGATGAACATCAAATACAGTAATTAACATCATACAGTAGATCACAACTAGTGTTAAAAATTTGGAGAAAACTTTCATCACAAAAATAAAACAAAACACATATTTCTTAAGTTAGTTTAAAAATATTAGCAAATAAAGAAAGACAGAACTCACCTGATGCCCCATCTGGACATTTTGCTGTAGCTTCTTCTCCTGCTTTGGTCCAGCTCCAGGAAATTCCTCTGGAGAATGTAGGTTGGCAAAATTCATCAGCAGAATAGGCAACTGTAGATGATGATGTTATGTGAGAGGAACCTGTTCGATTAAGTTTAGTCGAAATCACCTCTATACCTAAAATGAATAAAAGTAATTTTTTTTAATGACCACATTTTTAAGAGTTTATTGTAACAACATAAGAGAAAAATTTCTAAATTTTCCAGGTTTAAAAACATGTAAATATAGAACAATAATTCATTCTTCCATGCTTCTAAATAAGGTGGTTTTTAATGGAAAATATTTTTTTAAACACTTCTCTGATGTTTCTTCCTATATTTGGTCGCTTCTATCCATCATTGTCCAATATAATTCGATAATTGCTTCTCTAAAATATGACTGATCAAACTTGATGAGATGGGCAAATGAGTGTTTTTGTGGAAAATGAATAGAAAAAAATGTGTAGACTTTTCTAGTTATAGATATTTATCTTAGTGTTAGTTTTTAAGCAGTATTGTTAAATTTTGTCACATGATACTTAAATTTTAAGGAAATTTTCTTAAAAATTGAAAGCTTTGAAAATTTTCTTAAACTTATCAATAATAAATATTATTAAGAAAGATAAAAATGTATTTTTTGGTACATTTAAACTGGCATAATTTTCTTATTTTGGCTTATTAACATAGAGCTCCACATATCAGTCATACTTTGCATTTGTAACCAATAGAATCCAATTTTTTTTTAAAAATCAGATCACAGAGTCTTTATGAGGAGATAATTTAATATCAAATTGTTAGATTAAGTGATTTGTTTGCTTGTATTGGGGTTCTGAGAAAGAAAGCAGAGTCCTGGAATCAGATTGAATTCTACAACTGTAATGTACAAATATTTTTACATAGCTTAATTTTTTTCTTTTTTTCTAAACATGCGCCCTTAAGCAAAATAGTACTGAGGTTTCTTTGCTGCACACTACTTTGCAATTGAATAACATGGGGAAAATCAATTTTCTGATGAGGGAATGCTTGCAGCCTGAATTTCCAAAAAGAGTTGAAACCAACCCCTAGAAAGTTAATTAGCAGTTATTTCCTATGGTTTTTGCATGTCAATAATGTACACATGGTCATGGTTATATATTTCAATACAGTGTTTACATATGTACAGTCCGCAAAAAAAAGAAGATATCACCCTGAACAACTTTCGTTCTAATGATCGGATTTTCACGAACTAAGTGTCAATCTGAATGGTTTCTGAGGGTGACCTCAAATATGCTAATTAATTAGTGCTAACTATTAATTAAGTTACGAAATCAGACACAAAAACGTACTTTCTCTGAATAAACATATATTTTTTTTTACATATTTGGAATCCAGACCCTTAAAATAGGGGGAGGGGGTAGACAAAATTTAAAAAAAAATGGGTTGTAAATTGGGTCGCAATAAGGATTTATATATCTGGCGAAGATTTAAAAATATGCCAAATTACCTCACCATAGAAGGAGAAATAACTTATAACAAACATAAAGAAACTAAATGATTGACAAGACGGGAAAACATAGTGCTTCTCGTTGCTAAGCAACCAAAAGAATTTTTCGAGTTGCTTTCTGGGCAATGAAAACAAATTGTTTTTGTTTTCTTAATCTCCTTTAAAAAAAGGAAATTTAAATCAATTAATAAATTATTTTTGATTCTCCAAGATTTTAAATTCTTGACGTTGAACTTTTTATCTGACATTATTTATTTTCTTAAAACTGTTTTAACGTCATTTGTGTGACAGTTTTGAATTAAAACCAAATTTTTATAAGTTATTATAAATTTATGAAGAGTTGTAGGGTTAGTTGCTTTAGTACCTCACTTCGAGCTTCTTAGGTAAGGGAAAGAAGAAAAAAAATGATCAAGGAAATGAGGACCCGAAAAAGATAGCTATTCTGATGCATAATC